CTCTCTCTCTCCCTCCTCTCTCTCTCTCCTCCCCTCCCCCGCCCACACGCATGCATGGAGGGGCTTTTCACTCTTTCATTCAGCAAGTATCAAACATTCACAGCTGGTCAGGCCTTAGCTTGGGGATCCCAGCCCCGGACAAGACTGATGCCTCGGACCCAGCAGAATGGACAGCAGGGTTGGAGGAGGGGAGCATGTGAGGCAGAGGAGGACCTGAAGCGCCCATGAACTCAGAGGGAGATGGGGGTTCAGACCAAGTTATGGCCCAGGTCAGAGATGCCATGGATCGTTTCCACAGTCCAGTACTTCTCACTGCAGGAGAGAAGAGGCCCACAGATGTCCAAATTCCTCAGAGAAAATTGTGGCTAAAGTGGGCTGAGGCCAGAAACTAAAGAAATCTCCTGCCCTGGTAGAAAAGAGTGGAGTGACTTCTGTCCCTTGTCCACATCTGCCCACTTGACATTGACACAGACTGTAGTGTTTGAGGGGAGTGGGCCCAATTCCACAGATGAACAGGGCCACTTTCTTCCACTCCCAGCCTCCATCACCCACGTTTGAGACAAGCATCCCACTGGATGAAATATGCCAGACAATGGAACCACGTGGAGCGCAAGCCCCAAAGGCAGAGTGAACACAGCCAGTTCATCCTGTGTAATTAAGGTGAATCTGTTCAGTCACTCAGCTTTTATTTATTGAGTCCCTACTATTGCCAGGCTCTGGGGATGCTGAGCAAAAGACAGTCAGTGAGCTCCAGGGAGGAAGACAAGTAAATATATAAAGAATTAGACTGTGATGAATGTTACAGAGAAGTAACATCTTACCCAGAAACGCTTACTCAGAAAAGGCTTCCTGGTCTGTGTGGAGTCATAAAGGAGTTACCGGTGGTAGGGGGTGGGGGTGGGGAGAGGAGGGAAGAAAAGGCAACCCAGACAGACAGAGATGCTTAGGCAAAGTAACAGAGATAGCAGAGAGGTCTACCCCAATGACCGGAGGCAGATTTCAGCAAGACTGAAGTTGGTTTGCAGATCAGATAAGAGCAGTAGATGATGAGACAGTACAGAGGAGACAAGGGTTAGATCACAAAGAGCTTGACAGGTTTCTCCTGGAGGGGAGGATTTAAGATGGAAGATACTTAAACTTGCTTAAAAGCTGGGGAAAGAATAAGTAATGAGAGAAAGGTTGTCAGTAGGGCAGTAGGAGCAGATAACAGGTAAATCAAGGTCCTGGAAAGGTGCAGATCAGAGACTCCTAACAAGACTTTCCTAAATCCAGGTGAATTTTGCTCTGCATAAGAGTGCAATCCCAAACTGTTGTGATTGGATGAAATAATGTGTAAGTGCTCCTGTAGCCTTAATGGCCCTCGATTTCTCTAATCAAGGTTTTAATGGAGGGAGTCCCCTTGACATGTAGTAGGATCCTATGATAACTTGGAAAAATTAGGAGTGCTTTGGTAATATAAATAAGTTATTCATCGGTGTGTCTGCTGTCTGGTTAAGGTTTCATGTGGCTATATTTTCAAAAGAAAAGGAAGAGGATGTGATCTTCCGCACCCTTTTAAACCAACTTACATGAGCCAGTCGATCTTGAGGGTGGATTCCCCTAGCCCCCAGAGGATCATTCTGGCAGCTTTGTGAGTGGTGCATGGAAAGTGGGCATGACTGGGGTTGGGGGGCCAGATGGAAGGATGACTAGCTCTGTACTAGTCCAGGGGAAAACTAACGTGGGTCTAATCCAAGAAAAATGATGGTGAGAATGGAAAAAAAGGAAAGAACAGTGCTTCAGTCATTCTGACCTGGGCTCATCTTCTTCCCCTCCAATATCCTCCTTTGTCTGTGCCTGAATGCACATGTGCACTGTGTGCTACCATGAAGGTATGTGTCTCTAGCAACTGGCTAGCTGTTGACCACAGCCACTTCTTCCTCCCAGGCACACAGATGGATTCGTTCCCAGCCTCCCTTGCAGTGGGTGTGGCCATATGACTGTATGGAATGTGAGCAGAAATGATAAACGTCATGCATAGGCTTGGCTCATGAAGACTGGCCACTGCTCTCTGATCTTTCCCCTTCCACAGAAACCAACGGAGCCATGTGTTGAAGGTGATGGACGCACAAGCTGAAAAGAGCCCGGGTCCCTGAATCACTGCCTGGAGGAGATCTACCTACTGATCAGGAACCTGTCTGGGACTTTACTGAGCAAGAAATAAACCTCTATTGTACTATGTCATTAGGATTTTAGGGTGCTGCCTTACATAATACAGTCCCATTTCCCCTTGGCTTTTCTCCATGGGATCTCAAGTAGCCAGAGTGGGAGGGGTCAACTCCCTTTCCAAACCCAACAATATCCTGAGCCTTAGCACACTGTTCTGGCTCTGGGTGACCAAGGATCTGCTTCCCTCCCTGGAGAGTGTTCGTGAGGTCTTGAGAAGTTGCTAGAGGACAGTATCAGACACACTTTATATGCCAGAGCCTTAGTTTCCCAGATCTACTTACAGCACACCCATCACAAACTCAAATGTAGTTAGTGAAGAGTGGAATTTAAGGCAAGGCAGGGTCTCCTGGCTCTTTCCATCCATGGTGGCTGAGTTGCAAAGTGCTGGTGGAAAGATGACCCACTGGCCTAGGAGCAGAAAACCTGGCTGCTAGTTCTGGCCACGTGACCCTGGGGAAGCCTTCCCTTCTCTGGGCCTCCATTTCTTCAACTAGAAACCGAGAAGTTGGAACTACATAATTACTAAAGCCCCTGCCAGCTCTGACGTTCTAGATGCCTTTTCAGGGATTACAAATGCAAATGATTACAGGACCTAAGCATGTAAGTGGGCCAGGTGGGGACTGGGGCTAATTAAAGAGCTCACACCCTGTCTCAAGAAAGCAGCTGACTATTGCCAGGTGAGAATATGTGCCCAGGTTGCCACAATTCTGATTTTCTAAGAGAAGCCATAAATCCAGATTTCCTTAATAATAAATATCCAGATTTTAAAATGTTTCCAATGAAATTTTTTTTTAATAAACACTGAGCAGACCAAATAAGGCACACCTGTGAACCAGATTCATTCCTAGAACTGCCAGCTTAGGACCTTTGAACAAGGAATCCCAAGGCAGGGCCCCTTGGACTAGAGCTTAAGCCAGAGTCCAGGCCACTTGCCAGCTACTTAGCTTTCACGAAGCTGGCAGAGGTTTTCAGCCAAGACCCATGATTCTCTGGAATCCCACAAGAGGGTTTCAGAATATGCACACACCTCTCTATGAGGCCCCAGCTTCTGTGTTTCCTCTGGGTGGCTCCCCTGAGCAGTTCCCCTAGGGTTTCTTAAATGACCCAGACCCTTGGGCTTCTCACCCACTTCTCACCTTCCTCAACCCTCCCCTGTCCCATCACTATCCCCTAGTGGCTGGCAGTTGAGTAAGGACCAGACCAAGAGGCACTGCATGAGGAAGAAAGAGAAAATCAGTGGTGAGATCTGCTGGCACCAATTTTCAAACTGCACTGTGGCAGGGAGGAGGAGGCTGCAGGGAGAGCGGGTACCCGGGCTCACATTTAGAGATCTGTCCATCTGAAAGAGTCAACTTGGCAGAGTTGGGGAGGAGCAAGCCCTGGAATGCAGATGACACTCCCAGGCCCGGTCTGCCCAAGACAAACAGGAGGCCCGTCTGGCCCACGCCTCCATCCTCATTAAAAACCAGCTAATTCCAGAGGACG